ATCACTTGAATGGATCTCAGAGGGAGCTCTGTGATTTCGCTTCTGTGGGATGTTCTCTTTTTATTATTACGTATTCTTGTTTACTCGGGAAAGCCATGCTGGATTCCATGACTGTTTTTTCAAAGTAGAGGGGAATGGTTGCTACGTATCAATCTGATAATTGCTCAATTAGCGGGTATTTTGTTTGTTGTTTTTGGGAACATTTGGATCGTCAAGCTGACACGGAGAGTCATGCAACGCTGCAGGAGATCCGAATGGATTCTTCTTCTCGTGAAGACAACGGCACAATCGGGATAGAACTGACTAAAATAATTTATTAATTAAAATGTAACGTGTTATTAAATGGTGACTTATTTGATTTGATATCACACAGATACTCAGGCTGAGCAAGGTTTGTGTGTGGGGTTAGGGACAGATGATATTTTGGGGAGAGAGAATAAACCTCCGCAAGTCCACTCTCTGGCTTTTATTCCGTAGACGCACTTTTGAAACGTGGGACAAAGGACAACATCCTCTCTGGCAATCAATGCCATGAATTCCATCTGCAGATCCTCAGTAGCTAATAGTCAACGCTGTGACTTTTTTAGTACAAGAACCACCCGCCCCCCGCCCCTTCTGTGAGCAATGGCATGCTCCACAGGCATGATCACGTTTACGCTCGAGACGGATTGTACCATTTCCTATGGGGGGTGTTTGTAGGAGCGCAGGTGGGTCTTGCTTTGCGGTCAGTGCCGCTTGCCCATTCTCAACGGGAGAAGCGGTGTGTCGCACGGTCTTTAGTGCACACGGTAATGGGATGTTGCCACGGTGTAATGGTGAACAAACATTGCGCTTGCAATCCAGAGATCGCCAGTTCAATTAAATCTCCCGGCGCCTACGTCGAAGCCCTCGCGTCCGTGGTCCTGGCGACTGCGATCCAGTTCGCCTCCAAAATGAACGGCAAGATCGTGTTCCTTTTGAAGTCGGTGAGAGTGGTCTTTGCAACCATGGCCCAGGGGTTGACGGTGGGTGACCAGTACGTCGCTCTGGAGCCACTGTCCTCACCTGCGGCGCGGGTGATGCTCTCCAGCATGCCACCCTACATCCTGGACAAGGACATCCCGGAACACGTGACGACGCTGGGCAACGTCTATATACCAAGGCCAGCATCAGGTGCCAGCATCAGGTGCCATCTCTTGAAGGGTGAGGGACACTTTAGGAGGGAATGAGGAGGGAGTGGAGAGGGAACTCCTTTTTCAGCCACTTCAGCAGCACCCCCTCGAGAGTAGCAAATGTGTTCTCACCAAACTTGGTGGAAGTGGTCAAGGGGGAGGGTCCTTGACGTCACAATGCAGATCAGCAAGACCACCATTCACCTCGTGAATTGTGTACGCTCCAACCACTGGCAGCGAGAGACCCAGGTTTCTGTAGCTTCTGCGGAACCACCTCAGTGGCGTGCCGGGCGATGAGTGTGGTGGTCATAGGAGGTGACTGCAACTGCATGCTGGATGCCCTGGACCGCACAGGGAAGGCTGGGCTCTTGGAGGAGTTACGCGACCTTCTGGACCCCTCTGGGTTTGGTGGATGTGTGGCGGTTCCACCACCCCGGGCAGCATTGTTTCACGTTCACTCGGACACGGGGCCATCAATCGGTCACCCCAGTCCAGGATTGGCCGCTTTCACGTCTCCAGAAGTCTCCTGTCAAGCATCCTCATTTCTGGCACCAAAGCTGCGCGACTAATGGATCACAGCATGATCCTACTGGGCCTCAAGCTGCGGTGCAGCCTACTTGCACTTCAACAATGCCCTGCTGGAGGACAACACATTCACCAAGCCCTTCAGTGAGTTCTGGGAGCAATGGCGATAGCAGAAGGACTTGTTTGACAGCCCGGCCCAGTGGTGCAATCCAAAAAAAAGGTTCCGCCAAACATACACCTGGGGCAGCACGTGCCGTAAAAACAGCGACGTGACTGACATGGAGGCTCCGGTCTTTGACCTGGAGGGGTGGCTCATTGAGGGAGACAGCCTGGCCCTCCTACAGGAGTACGTGGAGAAGAAGGAGTGTCTCAAGGGAGCATTTGTGCGTTCTATGGTCAAGCAATACCTCGACCCGGACTCCGGATGATCCCCCTTCTCTCCTTGGGGAAGAAAAAGGACAGGCAGAAAATTATGGCGTGCCTCTTCAACAACGAAGGCGCTCTTAGTACAAAGAGTGAGGAAGTAATATCAATAAGGGGATTCTACAGCGACCTCTTGTCTCCCGAGGGAACATCTGCGCCTGCCCAAGAGGAGATCTGGAGGGACCTACCCGCCATCGGGGAGTTAGCGAACGAGCTGCCGGAGCAAGGGTTCACGGCGAGCGACCCGGAACACAGCAGTGAAGTCCCTGGCAAAAAAATAAACGTCCGGGGATCGACGGACTCACTGGAGAACTCCACGCCTCCTTTCGGCCAACGTCGCACGAGGACTACCGAGCAGTTCTTGGAAGAAGCGGTGGCCACAGGAGCCATGCGTCTCAGTCGCGGAGGAGGGCGGTGCTCACCCTGCTCCTTAAGAAGGACGCCCTGAGGCATCGTAAAAATTTGCCATGGTTGTCAGTGCTGTGCACGGAATACAAAATCCCGGCCAAAGCGCTGTCCTCCAAATTGAAGACGGTGCTGGCTGAGGTGGTGGAGAGCGACCAGGCCTACGCAGTCCCGGGGAGAACCACCCACGACGGCGTCTTCCTTGTCAACGGATCTCATCGCCCTCTCCGAGAGAATTGGGCGCCTACTCGCACTCCTCTCTCTCGACCAGGAGAAGGCGTTCGACAGGTTTTGACCTTGGGGATCTGCTGGGAACATCGAGGGCTTTTGAGTTTGTGGCCGTATTCATTGGTTTGATCTTTCCTGCCTTACGCCGAAGCCCAGTGGTGCAGTTCCACCACCAAGACACGCTGAGGACCCACAAAGATCATGCCTGGAGAGAGACCCTCCCCTGCGAAGGCCAAGATGAACCTCTGTGGAGGAGTTTCTTCTTCAGGCCCTCCTTACAAGTGCAATGGGAACTTCAGTAGGAGCCTGACCCACAGCACCAGCAACGCCTTCCGAGCGAGATTCACGAATACCGATCCCTCAGTCTTCTCTGTGCGGTGAGCAGATGGAAACGGTCGCACACCTGTACACCCAGTGCAAGGCTCTGGATTCATTATTCAATCTCCTGCGAAACATGCTGCTGAAGGGCAACCTGCACTTCTCCCCCACGGTGATCATCTTTGGCCAGGGGGGAGACGGGGCTGACAAACGCCGGGACGGCCTCGTGACTTCCCCGATGAGCTCCGCCAAGCTGGCGTTCTACAGGGCGAGGGAGGCGGCGGTGGATGGGAGCCGCTCACCAAACGCCCGCGGCATCTTCAGGGCCCTGCTCTCTGCCACAGTGTGGCTGGAGTTCCGCCACGCCCAGCTCACCGGGTAATGCCGGCACCTTCCTGGATCGGTGGGCGGCGGAGGGCACCGTGTGCTCCGTGCTGGACAATGGAGAGCTGCTTATGATGGACTGAGCTGGGCCTCCTCTTCCTGGCAGAATCTCTGTATTTGCACGTATGTAGCACACTTCTTTATGGGCACATTTATTTCATTTGGTGCACTTACGTCCAAGGTTATGGACAATCACGAGCAAAACAAAAAAACAACAAAATGATGACTGAAGGGTGCTCACTATGGTGAACAAACCTGAGACTGATCGGGGAAAAAAGAGGGAGGAGGAGGAGGAGAAGGAGGAGGACTGCACGCACGAGCCGCTCGGCAGCGACATCCATTCTCCCCGTCACGCCCGGCGCTCTTTGTGGGAGAAGAAAGGGGGCATTGATCGTTTTTTAGCGGCGCTGCTGCTTGCAGAGAGAAAGGCGGTGGCGGAGGGGCAAGGTCGCCGCGCCGGCGCGTCCGTGTAACCTCTCCCGCACGTACCCCCGAGTCCAAATGGCGGCGGTGGTGGCGGCACTGATGATGATGCCACCGCCCCCCGCCGCCCCCCCCCCATGGCGACCAAATCGGTTTTGCCGTCTCGCCGCTGTTGTTGTTGTTGTTGAAGTCGTTTTGTTTTGGGCTGACCGCGCGTAGGGATCGGAGAGCGGACAATCGCAAGAACCCGAATGCCGTGTTGCCATCTCGCTTCTGTCTTGCTGTCAGTCGCTTGTGTTGGAAAATGTATGCGTACAGATCATCTTTTCCTGTTATGATATCGTTAGTATTGTTACTGGTAGTGCGATATTCGTACCATATATGCGCACTGTCTTAGTTATGGATTTTAAACGTGTGTACGCGTGTTGTCGCGTGTGTTTCTGTCGTGTGTGTCGGTCGACACACCGGGGACGCCCTTGCAAGCGAGACGTTTCATCTCGAGCGATTTTTGCTGGTGAAATATTTGAACGAATTAAATCAAAATCACTCGAGGATTGTGCGGCCAGCCCTCAATTTATCCAGGGTAATGGGGCGGCGAGGTGGCTCGGCGGAAGAGCGACCGGCTCCCGATCAAAAGGTTGCGAGTTCAAGTCATGGTTTTGGGGGTTGGCTCAGCCCATCATCTCTCTCTGCGGTGTAAATTGAATAAGTACCACAATGTTCTGGCTCTGCAGAACTGCTGATTAGGACTCAACCCTCACTTGAACAAGAATTCGCCTGGGAGTTTTTCACACTTGAGTAATCGTAATACATTAATAATTCTACTGTACAAGCCCCTTTTGCCAGTCAGTCCAATCCTGGATGAAAGTCTCTCTCCGTGGCTGTGTCAGTCGCAGGGGTTGTCCGCCTCGTGTCTCTGACCTCTGAGCCCCCGGCCGACCACCTCTACAATGCGCCGCAATGTTAAACAGAAACAATCGATTTTTGAATGAAATCGTTGCCGTCCCACCCTCGTGCTCTCTGCTCTAATCTACCGCCCTCCCCGCTCTGACCCCTGACCCACAACCCCCGGCATCTTCCCCCCTCCCGCCCCGACGGCAACGCCTACCCCGTTCCTGCCTTCGCCGAACCTCCGCTTGTCAGCTGGTGACGGACGCCGGTACGTCAGAGTACCTGAGCGCCATTCAGGGGGGTCCCAAGGAGAGTGGGGGACCCTCATCGGCAGTGGCGGCAGCGGCGGCGGCGGGGGCGATGCCGGTGAAGCACGAGGCACGGCTGGTGCCGTCCACGGTGGAGCACTGCGTGGTGTGCGGGGACGTGGCGTCCGGTGAGCCCTTGGGCATGTGGCCAATCCTCGTGGCCCGGCTCACTCCCCCTCTACACTACTCTAGCTCACTCCCCCTCTACACTACTCTACTCACTCCCCCTCTACACTACTCTAGCTCACTCCCCCTCTACACTACTCTAGCTCACTCCCCCTCTACACTACTCTAGCTCACTCCCCCTCTACACTACTCTAGCTCACTCCCCCTCTACACTACTCTAGCTCACTCCCATACAATCCCCTACAATCCTACTGCTCACTCCCCCTCTACACTACTCTACTCACTCCCATACAATCCCCTACAATCCTACTGCTCACTCCCCCTCTACACTACTCTACTCACTCCCATACAATCCCCTACAATCCTACTGCTCACTCCCCCTCTACACTACTCTAGCTCACTCCCATACAATCCCCTACAAGTCCTACTGCTCACTCCCCCTCTACACTACTCTACTCACTCCCATACAATCCCCTACAATCCTACTGCTCACTCCCCCTCTACACTACTCTAGCTCACTCCCATACAATCCCCTACAATCCTACTGCTCACTCCCCCTCTACACTACTCTAGCTCACTCCCATACAATCCCCTACAATCCTACTGCTCACTCCCCCTCTACACTACTCTAGCTCACTCCCATACAATCCCCTACAATCTACTGCTCACTCCCCCTCTACACTACTCTAGCTCACTCCCATACAATCCCCTACAATCCTACTGCTCACTCCCCCTCTACACTACTCTAGCTCACTCCCATACAATCCCCTACAATCCTACTGCTCACTCCTCCTCTACACTACTCTAGCTCACTCCCATACAATCCCCTACAATCCTACTGCTCACTCCTCCTCTACACTACTCTACAATCATGCTGCTCACTTCCCCTCTACAATTCCCTACAATCCTACTCTACAATCCTACTGATCACTACTCTACAATCCCCTACAATCATGCTGCTCACTCCTCCTCTACAATCCCCTACAATAATGCTGCTCACTCCTGCTTCTCTTCCTCGCTCTCCTCCCTCCTCCTCCCTCCTCCTCTCTTTTCCTACCTCCTCATATTTCGACTGTGTTGTTGTTGTTTTTGCTGTCTTGCCCAAGCTTGATAGATAGGACTTAATGTATTATTTATATATGTACTGTGACTTGCTTATTCTTCTAAATTAACTTGCTGGCCCACCCGTACGGGACATCTCTGAAAAACAACTGCTCGTTGTTGTGTCTAGTTTTGTTGTCCTTCCCCCGCACTTCCGATGAGCACGGTTGACTACGTACGGTGCGAAAGAAGTTCAGCATACAGACATAGCTCGTAGAATTCCTCCTCAATGTCTAAAGAAAGATTCTGATTTCCTTTCTCCCTACAGCAGTGGATAATACCCCGGCAGATGACGATTTTATGACGACGATGCTAATGATGATGTTGCCACATTCTCTGTCTCTCGCTCATCTCTCCTCCTCCGCCTGCTCCACTCAGGGCGCCACTATGGTGCCATGAGCTGCGAGGGCTGCAAAGGCTTCTTCAAGCGCAGCGTGCGTCGCAGCGTCGTCTACACCTGCCGCGGCAACCGCGACTGCCTCATCACCAAAAACCACCGCAACCGCTGCCAGTACTGCCGGCTGCAGAAGTGTCTGCTCATGGGCATGCGGCAGGAGTGTAGGTCGCGCCGCTACGGTACACATGCACCGCCACGGCAAGGGACAGAGGACGGGGGGCGGGGGGGCGGGGGGGATGGGGGGGGGGGATTCATAATGGCTGTGTCAGAGCCGGCACAGCTGAGATCTGGAGTTGGTATCTCCGAGAGCGCCGGTTTTGACCGCGTGCGATTTATCGGGGCTCGTACAGCTACGGGGGTCAACACGCGAAAAATGTACGTCGTTGACAAAGTTGCCTTTTGAAAGGGGAATGCTTGTACGTACGTGCGTTGAACTTCCTTCGCACCTTACATCGCCAACCAGTGCTAATCGGAGGTGCGGGTGTTAAGGACAAACAAAAATCAGTTTTAAATTAATTAGTTTTCAATCTAACTTTAAAAGTGCACAGCTGCAGTGGCTTCGTAATCAGCTTCAGTGGCTTCCTCAGCCATTGTGAACCACAATAGCTGAGTACCCCATCGCGAAGATCATTTGTTACAATCTAGGCAGATGCTTGTAATTAAACCGGGTTCTCGACTTTTGATGGTTTACAAACGCACCATCAACCCTTCTGTGGCTTTTACAAGCCTCAGTCATCAATGCTGAACTCCGAGGTGGCCAGGTGACGCAGAGGGCAGTGCACCGAGCTGGCAACGCTGAGGCCCTGGGTTTAAATCCAGGCGACTGTCTGCGATCAAACTGGGTCCTCAAGTGTGGCAAGTGCGCTTAGTTTGACAAAGTTCCAGTTCAGAGAATGAAATATGTTGGGTTGACTTTGGTGGGGGCGAACATGACGGAGGGGTTTGGAAAGCGCTACTTAGTACTGTGTAGGTTGTTGGTTGGCCCCTCAATGTTTTGATGATGACAAAAACGATGATGCTGACAACGATCATGATGATGATGATGACCATTATGTTGATGATAAGGATGATACTGCCAATGATAACAATGCTGATTTTGATGATGTGGATGACGATGAAAATGATGACGATGATGACCATTATGATGATAAGGATGATCCTGACGATGATAATGTTGATTCTGATGACGTGGACGACGATAACGACGACGACGGTGATGAATGCGATGACGACGATGGTATCCCATTGCCATTGCTGACCGAACTCTGGCCGTTTGTCGGCAGCGGTGCAGAACGAGCGGAAGCCTTCGGACAAGGCGGGCAGCGTTTCGTCGGGAAAACCATACGGCAGGAAAGACTACTCGGGACCCGTGTCGTCCTTCTCCTACAAGAGCAACGCTCGGTACGGGTATGCCATACCAAATCCTTTTTCTTTCACTTTACCGAAAGAACCAAGAAGATGAATCCCTGCAGTCACGAAAGCTTTAAATTCAAATAAAAATCCTTTTTCGTTTCGTTTGTTCCTTTCGTAATTAGTTTTTTCCTCGCATGTGCCATTGGTGTTACGTTTCCACCAAGGTAGCGAGATGTTAACTCCCTCGCCTGGTATACAGGAGGTCGTGGGTTCCATCCCGACCCTGACGATGCCTATATATTTGGAGTTTGCATGTTCCCTCCGTGGTCGCGTGGATTTTTCTCTGGGTCCTCCGGTTTTACTTCCACGTTTATAAACACTTTCAGAGTATTTGGCTGCTAGAAATTTTCACGTGATAAGCCACTTCGTCGCAGCTATCATTCGTGGTCAGGTCGCTTCTGAAAAAGAGCTAAATTGCTCAGTGGGCCTTACCTGGTGAGATATTATTTTATTTTAGTATTATATTATTGTATTATGTTTTATTATTTTATTACTTCCCTTCTACGTGACTTTACCGAAAGAACCAAGAAGATGAGATAAAAATAGTTCAGTTTGTAAAGTGTCCAGTCGGATTTCTCGCAGAGCAGTACGACCCACCGTGTTAGAGAACAGCCCACGGAAGCGGATATCACAGAGCTCCCTCTGAGATATCTCCAAGTGACCGTTGGTCTGACACGGTAGAGACAGCTTTCCTTGCCCAATAAAAGAGGAGGTTTATTTCGATTTAAAGCTTTCGTGACTGCAGGGATTCATCTTCTTGGTTCTTTCGGTAAAGTCACGTCGAAGGGAAGTAATAAAATAATAAAAATAAAACATAATAAAATAATTCTCACGACATTTCGGCCACAACGCAAGCAGCCGTCCTCAGGTGAAAACCAGGTCTGTCAGACGTTTCGGCCACAATGCAAGCAGCCGTCCTCAGGTGAAAACCAGGTCTGACAGAACCAGGTCTGACAGACCTGGTTTTCACCTGAGGACGGCTGCTTGCGTTGTGGCCGAAACGTCGTGAGAATTATTTTATTGTGTTTTATTTTTATTATTTTATTGCTTCCCTTCTACGTGACTTTACCGAAAGAACAAAGAAGAGGAGGTTTATTATCTACAGATGATAAGATTTAGTCCCGGTTCGGAGCGTGATTGTTCAGTCAGACCAGGTACAAACATGTTGGGAAGAAACGGTGGTCGTTTGTCATCGCCTCCCTAACATGCCACTCCTGCCCTCCCTGCTGAGATGGTCTTGAGTCTTTGGAGAGTTTTAACGAAAGAAAATATATCCATTACAGAATTGTGTCAATCCACTGTTGGAATGAAGGCTTCCCCGCATCATTGAGGTCATGGAGATTGATTGTTCTTACGTTACTACTTTTTGGCGGGGCGGGGAACGAATTATCCGAAAACCAGTTGAGACGTCACTCGCTATACTGAGGGGCAGAGACCCAGGACCTCATCAGATATTGCTTGCCACCGATATTACCCATGGCCGGGAATTGAACTCGGGTTGCTGGGCTACATTGCTTGTTTGCGTGCTGTGGTGTGGTGCGGTGTGGTGTGGCAGGCTCCTCGCACCCTTTGACTCGTCGCCCATGGAGGAGGGACACCAGGCTTTGCGGCGTCACGATGGCTCCATGCTGCAGAGCAGCAAGGTGAGTGCCTTCACAGAGCCCCTTGTCCCAAATGTTTCGCGTGAATCTTGCAATTTGTCCCCCGGTTTAACGCTTTTCTCTCCTCGAGCTCGAGACCCGTGGCTCGTGCAAAACGCGGTGAGGTGCGGGGGGGGGGTGGCTACACGAGCTGTGGGTGTCGATTGGCAAGAGGAGTGGGGAGGAGGGACTATTAGAAGACCACTCACTGTGTGCGGGGCTAGCGGTTGAGTGGACGTGGCTATGTAAAAGTGGGAGGGAGGGAGGGAGGGAATGAGACGGGAGGGAAGGAGGGAGCTGCCAGCTCTTCACGTGTCCTGGGCGATACAACGCGGAGAAGAGCGTGGGGTGCCATCGCTAACTCAATTTGTTTCGTTTTGTATTGCAACCCTCTCCCAGCTGTCGTCCGGCCGAGGGGACCTGAACACCCTGGCGAGCGTGGTGACGTCCCTCGCCAGCCTCAAGAAGGAGGGTGGCGGCTGTGGCCTCGGCGGCTTCGACAGCCAGAGCAATGGCGATGGCGCAGGAGCCGGCCTCGGCTGGCAGAACGGGCACACGCCCGCCGCTCCCTCCAGGTTCGTACACGACGGCCCGAACCCCCGCCACGACCTTGCCGTGACCTCACCGTGGCCTCGCCACGACTCGGCTGCAACGCCGAGCTCCACCGACACCCCGCCGTGATCACACCACGACCTTACCACGACCCCACCGAGAAGTGACGACGACGTCACCACCACTTCACCACAATCCAATCTCAGCCCTGCCACGACCCTGCCACGACCCTGCCACGACCCTGCCACGACCCCGCCACGACCCCATCACGACCCCATCACGACCCCATCACGACCCTCACCACGATCCCACCATGACCCCACCACGACCCCACCACGACCCCGCCATAATCCCACCACGACCTCAGAACTACCCCACCAAGATCCGAACGTGGCTCCACCATGACCTCACCATGACGCCACCACGACCTCACCGTGACCCCACCGTAATCCCACCACGAACCCATCACTGATCCCACCGCTACCCCGCCCGTGACCACGCCACGAACCCATCACGACCCCATCACGACCCCATCACGACCCCCGCTACTACCCCGCCACGACCCCACCACGACCCCACCCCGACCCCACCGTAATCCCACCGCTACCCCGCCCGTGACCCCGCCACGAACCCACTGTGTCCACACCCCATAGCAGCCCCCCGCCAGCCACTCCCTTTGTAATGAGGCCGTGTCCAATACACACCCGGCTGGGCCCGTCCGTGTCAAATCAACAAGGGCTCGTCAACTGCATTTTTATTAGATTTCCCTGTAAGGTTTGGCAGCAAGTCGTGTGAGAGATACGGAGACAGGTTTCACAAATTTTCAGCACGTTGTTACTCACCACGATCCCACAGTAATATCTAACAAGGGGTGGGGTGTGGGTTTGGGTTGACAGCGCTGGAGCGACGCACGTATCCTTACAGGCATTGTTAGGAATATCTTAAAGGGGCTTGAGCAAGACAGAAAGCCATTCGCAAGCACAGCGAGCGGCGGAGGCCAGGACAGAGGCCTCTTGGATTTGGTGGAGGTCTTCCACAAATCTGGCCAATATTTTGAGGGATTCAAAAATTATGAATTGTTAATTATTTTCTGTGTTGGACATTCTCATCGTCAAGCAATCATAATAGTTGTCCGTTTCTTTTCTAAATGAAAACGATTTGTTCACGTTTGCAAATGATCTACGGCGTTAAATGCCAGTGTTTTACATAAATTTGGTGGCATAACTATGGTTAACACAGTAAGAAATAAAAACGATGATATATGTAGATATATGAATGGTGGAAGGGACCAACATTTTAGGCACAATCTATAAAATCACATTTGTGTGTCATATTAGTATTGCTATCATTCATATCCATTCACAATATGTGACATGCACAAGACAAAGATCCCCTATATAGCCTTAACAGACTGTGGGGTCAAGTGCTGTTAGCGAGTAGTACCTATGAAGGCCAGCACGGCACACGAAGGGGTAGGTGGCCAGCACCGTGTATCCCAAGTGGCGATGTTTATACACAGCACCAGATACTCATTTGAGGCTGAGTCGACCTAGGAGAGGCTCAGGACCGATTCAGATAATCGTTACTGGTGTTGGCCATGAGCGGGAATCGAACTCGGGTTGCTGGTTTCGTAGCGCAGCGCGTTTATCACGTGGAAAGATAAAGATCCCCGTATAGCCTTAACAGACTGTTGGGGAAAGAGCTGTTAGCGAACACATGCACACACACACACGTGCGCAGCAGCTGCTGTTAACAATTCTCCTCTGCTACGTGTCGCGGGCATGTGTCCCACGTGTGTGTGTCCCGCGTGTGCGTGTAGGGGCTTTGGGGCGCTGGGCAAGGCTCTGGGGGTCTCTCGCGACGGGGGAGAGGGCGCCGATAGAGGATTCCACTCCGAGCTCCCCTCCACAAGGTGACTCCCATCGCGACGGGCAGGCCGCACTGCCCCTCGTTAGGACTAAACTAAACTCAACAATCTTCTTGGTTCTTTCGGTAAAGTCACGTAGAAGGGAAATAATAAAATAATAAAAACTCAAACATAATAAAATAATTCTCACGATGTTTCGGCCACAACGCAAGCAGCCGTCCTCATGTGAAGACCAGGTCTGTCTTATGTTTTATTTTTATTATTTTATTATTTCCCTTCTACGTGACTTTACCGAAAGAACCAAGAAGATGAATCCCTGCAGTCACGAAAGCTTTAAATCGAAATTTAAACTGAACAATGTTTTGTTTTGCCAGGTAAGGCCCCACTGAGCTATGTAGCTCTTTTTCAGAAACCACCTGGCCACACAAATGATAGCTCAACGAAGTGGCTTATCACGTGGACATTTATAGCAGCCAAATACTCTAAAACGCATGTTTATAAGTGCGGAGGGAAAAGCTGGAGGACCCGGAGAAAAATCCATATGACCACAGGGAGAACACGCAAACTCAGAATATACAGGCATCGTCAGGGTCTGGATCGAACCCACGACCGCCTGTATACTATACGAGCTAGTTAACATCTCGCCACCATGGCGGTAACGAGACGGTTCGCGCGGTGCCCGCAGTGCCCACGGTGACTTTAATGAGCTGGCAACCGGGTGGCCGACAACTATCAGGCAATTTAGCAACAGTTTAGAAACATTGCTACGAGCAATCCTGACTGTTTGTGAGACACTGAATATGGAAAACCGGTCCAGAGTTTGCGTTGATCCAATGCTATTGTGATTATGCACTCCCAGATGTCTGTGTGTTGCGGATGGGATGTAAAACATTTTTTTAATGTTATTTATTATTCAACTTGGTTTTCCAGTGCAGTGAGTTGAAGGTGTGAGGCCGGTTACCAAATCCGACCTTCAATTTGACGAGAAATGGAACTCGGGTCACCAGGTTCATAGTGCATTACGCTAACCACTCTTCCACCGGAGGCTCTGCCGCTAAGATGGTTTATAAACCAAACATTCTCCAGAAGCACTTGTCTCAGCATATAATCCCTGAAGCAGTGGTGGCGTTATGTTTGCTCCTCGTCCTGTCTTAGATCTCGGCCCAAGATGGAGCCGTGCTGTGGAGAGTCGCTGCTGACCGCAGACCATGCCGAGTTCGAGGTATCTGCACACAGAGTGCTTGCTTACACACAAAGTGCTTGCCACAGAGAGAACCACAATACCTTGCTGATCTCGTCAAAGAGCATAAACCATCGCGCGAACTCCGGTAATCCTCGCAGCAGGCGGCTTTAGACTAGCCATCGAACAAAGACACCGCATCGCGCGCTTTCAGATGCACTTCTGTGGCCGTCTGGAACGCTCTTCCTTCCGTTATTAGGAAGCCACTGGAGCTGAGCACTTTTATATCGAGATAGAAAACTCATTTGTTTAGAGCTGTTTATTTCAGTTTGCTGTCCTCCGCACCTCCGATTTAGCGCGGTTGGCTACTTGCGGTGCGAAAGAAGTTGAGCATACTTACACGCAGAACCATCGGGCACAGCGACGGCCGGAACACCACCGCTTGGTTCCCACCCAAGGTTCGCTACAGTCGCCGGGCAATGTAACACTCGCCGGCAGTCAGAGGTGATTGCGGCAGCGCAGTGTTGCGGAGGTCATGGCGCCTGAGCGCAATTTTCTTCTCGGCGCAGAGGCTACCGCTTTGTATCTGGCAGGCCTGCTCTTGTAAATACTGCGGGTGCATCAACTGTAAATTATGCCCCCCCCCCCCCCCCCCCCGAGTTTCTTCCCATGACGTCGTTTAAAAAGAGTAGGCCATTGTGCGCCGGTGGCGGGGTCCGAATTTGGCAACAATTGTAGGATGACCCACGAATTTCTCAACTCGGATTACACACCACAACATCGGGCCCCCCTGCTCTAAAACTATTTGATGTTCCGTGAAACCGAACGGCCTCCTTCGTGACAGCCTTGTGCCGTAAGAACGGCGCCACGTACCAAACGTTCTTACCGATCATTATTCGTGATTATCCCGAGTGCGATTTCGGGCTTCCGCCTCCCCCCACTAATGCCATGCTCATATTCGCCCCGTACTTGCGCGCGCGCTGCGCCGGATTCATTCTTACCAGCTCCTCACTCAGTGACTGGGTACCCATGCGACCGCATTAGACGTCGGCAGGTCGTCCCGATTCACTTTTACGAGCAATAAACTTCTTAGGAGCGAGGTTGAGAGCTCTAAGGAGGAAGATCTTGGGGAGAGTTGATCGGAGTAGCCAACCAACAGTGCTAATCGCACCTCCGATTAGCACAGTTGGCGACTTGCGTACGTGCGTACGTACTTACAGACGACGCGCTCACAGTCTTCACCCCTCACTCTACGTGTGTAAGGAGTTAAATAGATTTTCAAAATAGAGGTTTTTTGGGTTGTATCGCATAAATATATGAACGTGTCGTTAAACCCGCCACCACCCGACACAGCCAACTAGTAAGGGTTGTCACGTAAACAGAACGTGCCAATTCGTCACTAGTACAGCACTAGTGTATAGTGTAGTGTATAGTAGTGTATTGTAGTGTAGTGTATAGTAGTATATTGTATAGTGTAGTGTATAGCGTATTGTAGTGTAGTATACTAGGACAGCACTAGTGTATAATGTAGTGTATTGTGTATAGTAGTGTAGTGTATAGTGTAGTATATTGTATATTGTAGTGTATCGTGTTGTGTTTCGTGTAGTATATAGTAGTGTATAGTGTAGTATATTGTAGTGTATAGTGTAGTGTATAGTAGTGTAGTATATAATGTAGTATACTAGTACAGCACACCGGTGTGTTGGAGAGCCAAGCCACAACATTTACAATCTGAGTACGACGTTTTGCCAGTAATTACAACCAGCTTCATCAGGCGACAGCCAGATCGGTGGAGAAGTCCACCTGTTTCGTTTCTTATATAGAGGCGTAGATGTGGTGATCTAACCCAAAAAAACCTCTAATATGTATGATATTGTTCGCGAAAGCCTACGTGTTAAATAGATTTTCACTTGCATTATCCGTGTGCGTTGGCTTTATCTGTGTGTAATTCACAGTCCGCGACCTGCCCACTCGGGTCAAAAGTCAAAGAGTGATTTGCTGCTCAGATGAGCATTGAGACGGTGCTCGTTTCATGTTTACAGCCGCCCTTAGCCAGTTGTGGAAATTCCCCATTCCTGCGGCGGGGGCGAGTCTTATCTGTAGAACAATGGTTGTTGATCTTCTTGGTTCTTTCGGTAAAATCACGTAGAAGGGAAGTAATAAAATAATAAAACTAAAACATAATAAAATAATTCTCACGACGTTTCGGCCACTAACGCAAGCAGCCGTCCTCAGGTGAAGACCAGGTGTTTCATTCAGACGCTGTCTTCCCGACTGACCTGTTCTCCACCTGAGGACGGCTGCTTGCGTTGTGGCCGAAACGTCATGAGAATTATTTTATTATGTTTTAGTTTTATTATTTTATTACTTCCCTTCTACGTGACTTTACCGAAAGAACCAAGAAGACGAATCCCTGCAGTCACGAAAGCTTTAAATCGAAATGGTTGTTGACTTCCCCGAAGGGTATTGCACATTTTATCCACCCCAGACGGATGATGGGCTGTGTCAACGCCAAACCAGAATTTGACCTCGCAAGCATTGTGATTGCGAGCCACCTGATCTTCTGCTGAGCTGGATAGAAACCGAGAGCTGGCCACAACATCGTGGAGCGATTTTATTTGAAGTAATAATAATCCACAAATATTTCGCTGGAGAAAATCCCCCAATGGAACGTCTCGTTTGACACGCACGTGAGCAAACGAGGGATGGCACCTCGACAAACACTTGGAATCTAGGACTCGCACGGCGTGCGTTCATACGGCGAATACCGCACTCGCACCAAATGCATGAAGAAAGGATATCCATAAATAATTAAGCGGTGCGCACCGCCGGTTCGTGTTAAATGTTCCCTGGGTGCAACAGTTGTCAATGTTGTGCGGGTGAGCTGTAATTCAGAGTCAGAATCTTTATACTGGAGGAATCCGATGAGCTATAAAGCTTTTTCTTTTTTTTTTTGACAGATGTCCGAGTCGATTAAGGTTTTAAATAAGCCGAGACCGGCGGTACGTTTGAGTGCATCTGGGCGATCGTCCCACGCGGTCCAAGCCTCTCTGCGTCGTCGTCGTTGAGCGAGAGAGAGGGCGCTTCTTCAGCTCTTCCTCTCTCGTTGCGCTCAAATCGTTTTAAGAAACCGTGCGAGCGAAGAGCTTATTAAGTCGATCCGTTGCCCGTGGGAGTCTGACGTCCCCTGCGCCGCCGCGCGTCTCTTTCCCTCCCTCTCCGCAGCTGACGATGCCGCTGCCCGTGCCAGACACCATGAACATCAGCTACATCTGCGAGTCGGCATCACGCCTCCTCTTCCTCTCCATGCACTGGGTCCGCTCCATCCCGGCCCTCGCGACGCTCGGGTGCGTACCCGGCCAGTGCCGTGGGCGCTGTGCCGCCATTGCCGCCGCTCTCGTACCCGCCCCCACCACCACCCACCTCCCCCACCCTTTTGGTTACAGCAGTGGGCAAGGCAGAAAGAACTTCGCAAAAGCTAAAAGTAGGCCGCTCGCTAAAGGAGAGAGATGATGGAAATGCTCACGTGGTCGCCTTGTTCGATGGGATACATTTTCGTGCTCGTAATGTGTGTGCGCTGACCTGTGCGTGAGAGAATGTATTCTTATCAGTCTTATTCCTCCTGTATACCTCGTTAAATCTCGTGATGCGTGTTCAGGAGTGTCCTGCCAAGTTTTCGCAGTAAGGGGGCGATGTTGTTGCTGCCTGCGTGTGATCCATATGTAGTTATTTGCTCGTGTATATTTCAGTTGAGTAATTGACAATTCGGACCGTGATGCCAGCAACGCAGTGCTGGCTATTTTTTTTTGCGAACGACGTCACGAGATCTTTTGACGTTCCACCATACGTGAAGCAGACGGTGAAAACAACCGCCAGCAATAACCAAGAGCGGCCCCTCGGTTTAAAGCCGTTGGCGTCTGCAGCAAGCAGTGAACCCGCTACCGCTTGGCCGTGTCACCGCTAAGAGATATGATGACGGTAGTGATTAGGGAATTCTAATTTTAATACATTCTTTATACTCGTGATGTGTGCATCCGAGTGTTGAAGCTTATTTATTTTCTTTTTTGCCAGTGTCAAGATGATGAAACAATAGGCTTTTACCCTTTTCCGGCAAAGAATACAGGTGTGAAGATCTTCTTGGTTCTTTCGGTAAAGTCACGTAGAAGGGAAATAATAAAATAATAAAAGTAAAACATTATAAAATCCTAATTATTATTAAATAATAAAAATAAAACATAATAAAAGAATAATAGTTTTATTTTTATTATTTTATTATTTCCCTTCTAACGTGACTTTACCGAAAGAACCAAGAAGATGAATCCCTGCAGTCACGAAAGCTTTACATCGAAGGTGTGAAGATGTTCGCGTGCGTTTGAACGCGCCGCTTGAAATGTGCGCGCACATCCAGCGGCACGTAGGGCGGAGCGACGGCGCGATGGTTAGCGAACCAAGCCGCGAGCCCGCCCATCTGAGTTCGATTTCCAACCCCGCCCCCCGCCCCCCCCATCTCCCGTGGTCGATGGCGTTCTCAGGCAGGAGTGCTGCACGGGGCTGGTGCGTGCGTGTTGGAACGAGCTGTTCACGCTGGGGCTGGCGCAGTGCGCCCAGGTGATGAACCTTCCGGCCATCCTCGCTGCGGTCATCGCGCACCTCCAGAGCAGTCTGCAGCAGGGTAAGGGGAGGGACGCGTCGCGCGGGACTTGCAGGCATGACTGCTGCAATGGCGTGCTAACGCGCGCGTGCGTGCGTTTCCAACTGCGGTAGTGTAGCGGTTAGCACGCTGCGCTACAAACCCAGCGATTTAAGTTCGATTCCGGCTCACGGCCAATACCGGTGACGATTATCTGAACCGGTTCTGGGCCTCCCCTAGGTTGACTCAGCCTTAAATGATTACTTGGTGCAATGTGTAAACATCGCCACTCGGGAGACAAAGGCAGTCGGGTGCGGTGCAGACCACCCACCCTTTCGCGTGCCGTGCCGGCCTTCAGAGTTGCTCGCTAACAGCACTTTCACAGAAAGTCTGTTCAGGCTATGAAGGGGATCTTTGTGTAAAATGCAATCATTTCCCATTCAGATACCCTCATTACCAATGCTATGGACTCCCACTACTGTAGATTCTACAGGTATTACAAGGACATACAAAACTCAGGAATAATATAATTAAACCTGCAGAACGCCAACTCTTCCAAGTTGCGGGAAGGCTTGTTGAACTCACAAGAGACTAACCAACTATCTCTTTTCATTTTGCCAGGTAAGGCCCACTGAGCTTCTAGCTCTTTTTCAAAAAGTAACCTGACCGCAAATGATAGCTCAACGAAGTGGCATGGAATGTGAAAATGTATAGCAGCCAAATTTTCTAAACATGTGATGTTGATTCTAATTGTGGAGGGAAAAACTGCGACCACGGGGAGAGAGACACAGCAAACTCCCAAATATACAGCAGCAGGCGTCAGGGTTGGAATCAAACCCACGACCTCCTGCGTACCAGGCAAGGCAGTAAACATCTCGCCACCACCAGCGCCTTATTAGTGGAGTTGGTTAAACATCCCAACATAAGTGCACAGAACTCGGGCAGATGTTGACGACGGTTGTAGTTGCCTCCCAAGCACTGAATCGGCTGAAGCCTCCCGTAAGTCACGTGACTTGTCTGCAGTCACCCCCACCTCTGAATCCCCCTCCCCTCTCATCTTAATATCTCGTATCTCTCTCACTAAATCACCTCAAGCCTCCCGTAAGTCACGTGACTCCTGCGTGGCCACCCCCGCTCTGAACCCCTCCCCTATCTCCGTGCCGCCGCCCACTGTGAACACAGACGCCGCTCCTCCGTGCAGCAGCAGCAGCAGCAGCAGCGTTGAGGCCCTGATGAAGCCTGTTCCTCTCGATCCTCACCTCTCATGACCCTTGTTTGCTCCCGTTTCTCCGTTACCTTTTCCCTTCCTTTCCCTCGCATTTCCCATTCAACCCGATGGGCTACAAAGCTCGTTTTCACAGATGTCCAGTAGGGGCATGGGGTAATAACGTTACAAAAACAAACAGTACAACAACATAATGGTAGTGCACAGTACAAGAAAGGTAAACTCATATACCGTATTTATATCCTTGTCTCTACTCCCCTTCCTGTGGGGTGCCACTTGGTGAATGCGAGGGTGGAGGGGTAACTCCGTGATGGTGTGCGTGTATGTGTGCATGCGTGTGTGTGCATGCGTGTGTGTGCATGCGTGTGTGCGGGTGTGCGTGTTCCCGCGTGGGGAGCGGTAGAGTAGCGGTTAGCGCTACGCTGCGCTGCGAACCTGGCGACCCGGGTTCGATTCCCGCTCACGGCCAACACCAGTGACGATTATCGGAACCGGTCCTGGACCTCCCCTAGGTCGACTAGGCCTCAAATGAGTACCTGGTGCGGTATGTAAACATCGCCACTGGGGAGACAAAGGCGGTCGGGCGTGGTGCTGGCCACCCACCCCTTCGTGTACCGTTCCGGCCTTAATAGGTGCTCGCTAACAACACTTGCCCCTACAGTCTGTTAAGGCTACACGGGGGATCTTTGTGTGTGTGCGCACGCGTGCTCGTGGCGCGTGCAGACAAGCTGCCGGCGGAGCGCGTGAAGCTGGTGGTGGAGCACGTGTGGAGGCTGCAGGAGTTCTGCCACAGCATGTCGCGGCTCGGCGTGGACGCGTTCGAGTTCGCGTGCCTCAAGGCCATCGTGCTGTTCAGCCCAGGTGGGTCCCCCGCGCTCAGCCCCACCCGCCCGCGCACCGCCTGCAACGTCAACGCCACGCCACCGTCACCGTTGCCACCGTGACAACCACCCACCGACGCCACCGACGCCAATGCCACCGTCACCACCACCAACGCTACCGTCATCACTGCCACCGTCCCCACCAACGCCACCACCACTACCAACGCCACTGTCACCACCAACGCCACTGTCACCACCACTACCAACGCCACTGTCACTACCAATGCCACCGTGACAACCAACGCCACCGTCATCGCCACCGTCACCACCACCCACCACCAACGCCACCGTGTCCACCACTACCAACGCCACTGTCACCACCAACGCCACTGTCACCACCACTACCAGCGCCACCGTGACAACCAACGCCACCGTCATCGCCACCGTCACAACCACCACCACCACCACCAACGCCGCCATCACAACCACCACCAACGCTGTCGCCACCACCGCCAACACAACCGTCACAGCATCCAACGCTACCGTCACAACCGCCACCGACACTGCCACTACCACCAACGCCGCCGTCACAACCACCACCAGCACCGCTGTTGGGCATCATCACCACTGCCACCGCCAGCACCGCCACCGCTGCCTCCGCTGCCCATAACCACCAACGCCGCCGTCACAATCGCCACCAGCACCGCTGCTGCAACGACCACACCTCCGCCTCCTCTGCCACCGCCACTGCCACCACCAGCGCCGCCACTGCCACTGCCCTCGCCTGCCCCCCTTAATTCGCACGGCGCAAGCCGAGCTTTACTTTCGCTGAGCACCCTTCCCTCGCCGAGGGCGGCATCGGACTTTGCCATCGGTGCACCGTGTGACCGCAAGAGGGCCCTCGCGCTCACGGAAGCTCGCTCGCTCGGAATTAGAAACACACACAGGTGTCATCAGGCTCAGGTTAATGGTAACCCCCCCCCCCTCCCCCATGACATAATAACCCTGGGGGTGTAGAACCGCTTTGCCGCACGCACACTCGCCTCGGCACTGTTCGATCATTATCTGGCCGTCACGCACCACGGTACGTTCGGTGGGTGGCCAGCACCACGCCCGGCTGCCTTTGTCTCCCCAGTGGCCATGTTTACACACACCTGCACCAGCTACTCAAATGAGGCCGAGTCGACCTAGGGGAGGCCCCAGGGACCGGTTCAGATAATCGTCACCGGTGCTGGCCGTGAGCGGGAATCGAACTCCTGTTCCCCGGGTTCGTAGCGCAGCGTAGCGCTAACCGCTACGCTACTACCGCTCACTCCCCTTCCTCACCCCCCTCTCTACCGCTGACCTGCAATGACCGCTAGGTGGCAGTGAAGCCACGGCTGTGGATGGCGAGATCTGTGAGCGAGTTTGCGGGATTGTGTTGAGTGGCTCTCTTCTCCATTGACGTCGCATCGGCAGACAAAGAGATGTTGATTTGAAATCGTCGTAGTGATGGCGATCGCCTGCGAAAGTGCGTGCGTAGTCGTGCGTATGCGATGATGTTGTGCATGTGTGTACATTTTGTGTGTGCGCGTTCACGCATACATGTAGCATCGTGCGTGTGCGATCATACATTTAGAATCGTGACTGTAAATTCATGCGAGCTTTCACAATCGCGCATGTACAATGCTTCGTGTAGAGTTGGGCGTGAGTATTTTGCTGCGTGCTTCCATCACGCTGTGCGTGCAATACTGCCTGTGTCCTGGTGAGTGTACAGGAGTGCGTGCGTGAAGCTGCGTGCGTGCCGCATGTGTGAGGAGCGGTAGTGTAGCGCTGCACTTTGAACCCAGCGACACAAGTTTGATTCCCGCTCATGGCCAACAGTGATAATTATCTGGGCCTCCACTAGGTTGACTCAGCCTCAAATGGGTACCTAGTGCGATGTGTAAATATCGCCACTGGAGAGACGGGGTGCTGGCCACCCACCCCCTCGTGTGCCATTCCGGCCTTCATAGATGCTCTTGAACAGCACTTGCCCCAAACAGTTTGTTAAGCCTGTACGGGGATCTTTGTCTGTGTGTTATGTGCGTTCGTGTGTGTGATAGCGCGTCTGCGTTGGTGTGCGATGGCGCGTGCACAATAGTACGTGCGTGATGGTGTGTGTTTCCGTGCGTACCCTTAGACCACCCGGGGCTGGTGAACGTGGAGCAGATCAAGCAGCTGCAGGAGAGAGCCACGCTGGAGCTGCGGGGATACATGGAGTCTGCTCATCCCGACGACAGCACCAGGTGGAGCCAAACGTCCTCCTCTTCCAACCTTTCCCTGCGTCTCTCTCCCAGTCTCTCCCTCATCCGACCTCTCCCGAATGCCCCAGAACTCTACCTTGCCTCTTCCGACCTCTCCCGACCTCTCCCTGCGTCTTTCTCTCAGTCTCTCACCCGATCGCTCCCAAACGCCCCAGAACTCTCCCTTGCCTCTCCCCAGCCTCTCCCAACCTCTCCTTGCGTCTCTCTCTCAGTCTCTCTCTCACCACACCTCTCCCAAACGCCCCAGAACTCTCCCTTGCCTCTCCCAACCTCTCCCAGCCTCTCCCTGCGTCTCTCTCTCAGTCTCTCCCTCATCCGACTGCTCCCAAACGCCCCAGAACTCTCCCTTGCCTCTTCCCAGCCTCTCCCCAGCCTCTCCCAACTTCTCCCTGCGTCTCTCTCAGTCTCTCCCTCATCCGACCGCTCCCGAACGCCCCAGAACTCTACCTTGCCTCTTCCGACCTCTCCCTGCGTCTCTCTCCCAGTCTCTCCCTCATCCGACCTCTCCCGAACGCCCCAGAACTCTACCTTGCCTCTCCCCAGCCTCTCCCTGCGTCTCTCTCTCAGTCTCTTTCTCACCAGACCTCTCCCAAACGCCCCAGAACTCTCTCTTGCCTCTCCCAACCTCTCCCAGCCTCTCCCTGCGTCTCTCTCTCAGCCTCTCTCTCACCCGACTTCTCCCAAACGCCCCAGAACTCTCTCTTGCCTCTCCCAACCTCTCCCTGCGTCTCTCTCTCAGTCTCTCTCTCACCCGACCGCTCCCAAATGCCCCATAACTCTCCCTTGCCTCTCCCAACCTCTCCCAGCCTCTCCCTGCGTCTCTCTCTCAGTCTCTCCCTCATCTGACTGCTCCCAAACGCCCCAGAACTCTCCCTTGCCTCTCCCCAGCCTATCCCACCCTCTCCCTGCGTCTCTCTCTCAGTCTCTCTCTCACCACACCTCTCCCAAACGCCCCAAAACTCTCCCCAGCCTCTCCCAGCCTCTCCCTGCGTCTCTCTCTCTCAGTCTCTCTCTCACCACACCTCTCCCAAACGCCCCAGAACTCTCCCTTGCCTCTCCCCAGCCTCTCCCAGCCTCTCCCTGCGTCTCTCTCAGTCTCTCCCTCACCAGACTGCTCCCAAACGCCCCAGAACTCTCCCTTGCCTCTCCCCAGCCTCTCCCTGCGTCTCTCTCAGTCTCTCCCTCACCCGACCTCTCCCAAACACCCCATAACTCTCCCTTGCCTCTCCCCAGCCTCTCCCTGCATCTCTCTCAGTCTCTCCCTCACCAGACTGCTCCCAAACGCCCCAGAACTCTCCCTTGCCTCTCCCCAGCCTCTCCCGACCTCTCCCAGCCTCTCTCCCTCCTTCCGGCGCTCTCATTCGCAAGACAAAATAAACCTAATTTGTCAGGAGACGGGTGCGACATCACACAAATAAATTACAATCGACGTTTGAATGTGTGGCGGAACGTGTTTAACACTGCCGCACGATTCACAGTGCCGGCATCACAACTCATGGTATTTTTGTCCTTTTTCCCCAAATTGTAACCACGACAGTGCTGTCGGCGTGATGTCGTGATGAGACGGAGAATCTAATCGGGTCTCTCGGGGGGTAGTCCCAACCCTCCGGCCCGCGGACACGTACATGTGCATACGTGAGCGTGTTTGTGTGCGTGCGTGCATGCGTGTGTGCTGCACGGGATGGAGAAGAGATGGAGCGATGTGGTATGAGATGATATGGAGCTGAGTGGACTTGCCAATGACTAATACCAGCGGTTTCAAGATCGGCCTCTGTGGAGGAGGCTCGTGAAGGACGCTGCTACGCAGTTTGAGGCAGTCTCCCTCCAGAACCAACGGAGGGCAGAGGAGCGACGCTCACAACAACGAGCGGGTCGCCGGGCGGCTAAAATGCGTAACCTCCTGCCAGCGGGCGCTCGACACTTCACGTGGCCTTAAAGTGCGCACGTAGCCTTGCACTGGCGCCGTGATGACGTCACCGCCACTTCTGTGGCGAGCGGCGGTTGTTGTGTTGTTGATGTACTGGGGATATTTGTGGGCGCGTGCGCTCGTGTACATGCGTACGCGTGTGCGTGTGCATACCCAGGCTGCTTCGGCTGCTGCTACGCCTCCCCGCGCTGCGTCTCATGAGCTCCGCCGTGACGGAGGAGCTCTTCTTCGTGGGCCTCATCGGCACCGTGCAGATCGACAGCATCGTCCCCTACATCCTGCGCATGGACTCCGACGACTACAAGGTGTGACCTCCGACCCCCTCCCAGCGGCACCTCCGGACCCGGACCTCGAGTGCACGTGGAGCAATGGAAAAACGGAGAGAAAGGAAACGACGAATGACCGCCGCCCGCCCGCCCGCCCGCCCGCCCGCCTGCCCGCCCGCCGCCCGCCCGCCCGCCTGCCCGCCCGCCCGCCCGCCCGCCTGCCGCCCGCCCGCCTGCCCGCCCGCCCGCCTGCCCGCCGCCGCCCGCCCGCCCGCCGCCCGCCGCCCGCTGCCGCCCGCTGCCCGCCCGCCCGCCTGCCCGCCCGCCGCCTGCCCGCCTGCCGCCCGCCCGCCTGCCCGCCTGCCGCCCGCCCGCCTGCCGCCCCGCCCGCCCGCCCGCCTGCCCGCCGCCCGCCGCCCGCCCGCCCGCCCGCCGCCGCCGCCCGCCCCGCCCGCCTGCCGCCCGCCCCGCCCGCCCGCCCGCCCGCCGCCGCCCGCCTGCCGCCCCGCCCGCCCGCCCGCCCGCTGCCCGCCGCCGCCCGCCCGCCCGCCTGCCCGCCCGCCCGCCCGCCGCCCGCCTGCCCGCCCGCCCGCCTGCCCGCCCGCCCGCCGCCCGCCTGCCCGCCCGCCTGCCCGCCGCCCGCCGCCCGCCCGCCCGCCTGCCCGCCCGCCCGCCGCCCGCCCGCCCGCCCGCCGCCCGCCGCCCGCCCGCCGCAGAGCCCGCCGCCCGCACGCCCGCCCGCCGCCCGCCTGCCCGCCCGCCCGCCCGCCCGCCAGCCCGCCCGCCCGCCTGCCCGCCCGCCCGCCTGCCCGCCGCCCGCCGCCCGCCCGCCGCCCCCCGCCGCCTGCCGCCCGCCGCCGCCCGCCCTCCTGCACGCCCGCCGCCGCCGCACGCCAGCCGCCCGCCTGCCCGCCCGCCCGCTGCGCTGCCCGCCCGCCCCCGCCCGCCTGATTCTTCCTCCTCCTCCACCGAATCCGACAACTTGTGACTCTTGCGTCTCCTCCTGCATCGGCGTAGCACTTCGGACGCTCTCCACCAAAAGAGAGCGCATTTCCGCCCCCATTTTTAATACCGTGTGAGCGTGCGTGTTCGTGCGCCGCTTCTTCTGGCCTCTCCGCAACACTCCAGGCACCTCACCCCCTCCCCCCACCGCCGCCCTTTCCCCGCCGCCGCCGCCGCCGACAACCGTCGGGCAATGGGATTGTGAACAACGTCGCAAGGCGGCGGCGGCGGCCTTACGCTTGATTTTCCCCGCAGCCCGCAGCTAAGAAAGACGCGGCGAGCTGCGTTTACCCTCCTCCTCCTCCTTCCCCCGGAGATGACGAACGTTAAACAAGCAGAAACAGAACGGGGGGGGGGGGGGGGGGAGAAAAAAAAAAGACAACGCAAAAGTTACCGTGATAATGAAAACAAAACAAGCAAACGAAAACAAAGCCTGCTCCTACGAACATACTCCTCTCGGAACGAATTTCATTTTTGTTTTGCTAGACTCGTCCAAAGGATTTTTACAGCCGGAAGTTCGCGCGCGGGGGAAAGGTGGTCGAGGAGTTTGATTCAGTCGGTAGTCGTGCCCAGCTCCTGTTCGGAACGCTTTTTTGGTTGTCGTTGCCACCGCCGCCACGATTTCCTCTCCACCCGCAAGCCTACGACGGGCACGGCGCGAGAAGCCGTGGGAACGCGCGGAGACTTTTCTTCTCCATTGCTTCCGCTGTAAAACGGCATCAGGAGGTTGTTATTTTTTTTCTTTGCTGAAACGACGCGGCGCGATTGTGCGTTGCTTCTGAAAAACTGTGCACCCACACGCACACGCACGGCCGTGCACCCTCCACGCACGATGTATAGTTTTTAAATTAAGAAACGTACGCTTGCACCCTCTCTAAGCAGCATTTCACGCAACGCACCCACTCATACCCCCCCTGAACCTTACCCACTTTTCCTCGGCCTGTCCTGACTTTTTTTTGCACTTTGGAAGAACGTTACTGTTTTATAATCCGAAGAGCCTAAATCGCTGTAGACTACGTATACAAAAAAATATATATATTAAACAAACAAAAAAACTAAAAAAAATCACGGGGGAGAGAGAGAGAGATAGCGAGCCAACGAGAGAGAAGAACGGAACGTAAAGATGAAACCGTGCGGCAACGTTGCGAAGGAAGATGCCGGCTTCCTGAAGGCGGAGCGATGACGGGACAAACAGAGGCACGCGCCGCGGTCGTTTTGAACAACGGCGTCGCTGCGGGAAACACACGAAAAGGTTTCAAAAGGGAGGGGAAATCATGGAGAGAAGAGAAAATAAAAAAACAAATCGTCGGCCCTTTAATGCGCGGCACTCATCCTCCTGCACTCGCCCTCCTCCCTCCCTCCCCAGGGGGGTCACGGGGTCAACGTTAGCATTGCACTTATTTTTCGCTTTTAGTCTTTTACAGGGGATGCGCGGGGAAGCGGCGACTGCGCGCGCGCGCGCCGACTCTGCCACTAACGAGGGGTGAGAGAGACGCTGGGAAGGGAAGGGGGGCGGCACGGCCAGCCACGCTCGCTGTTTTCCGCTGGCGCTCGGCTTTTCCACCACCGTTTCGGGAACTCCCCTCCCCCCCCGGGTTCCAATCTTGTTGGAGGGTCGACCCGGCCCGTTGTTGCTTCCAGGGTGGACAAAGTAAAGTATTGCTTTTCCTGTAAGGATTCCGCCCGTCGGGCAGATTGTCCCCTGCCATGGGATTGTGGAATTTACACCGCTTGGGGTCTTCTTGGTGGGTTTTACCGGCGCAGCTGAGTGCCCCCCCTCACCCCGGCCACCCCCCTCTCCCCGCTCGTTTTGAGGTTGGCTTCCGGGTGCTCTGACGCAGGTGGCGCCATCGTGGTGGCGTTGTTGTCCTGGTCGTGAGCTTGCGGGGGTTTCAACGTTGACCCTCCTGGGGTTGGACCGATCCCTGCGTCCGTTTTTTTTGTTTTTGCCAAAACCGCCTTTCCCAGGCCCCCCCTTCCTTCCCCCCCCGGCAGAGCCGGTCTGCGCGCCCAGCCCCAACGCTCGCCCGCGGCGTCCCCGTCCCCGTCGTTTGTAATTATTATTTTTTACTACGAAAAAAAGGAAAAAAAAATGATATATATGAATCGCATGTTTGAATTGCACCTTTTTTTTCCTATAGCACAACACAAATGCACATCGCTGTCGGGGGGAGGCCCTTCTCCCGCGTGCGCATTCTAATTGTCATCGTTGTCGTCGTCGTCGTCGCCGCCGTCATTATTATTATTGCTACTTTCACCTTTTACTCGCCGCTCAAAGACACACGTGTTTCTCGAGACGCGTGAGATGCGAGCGAGGGACTGCGAAGTTAAACTTTGCACTCCCCGCGCCACCGGCGCTTTGCGGTCAAAGGTGGGGGGGAGAGGAGTCAGATTTTTTTCTTCGTGGGGCATATTTCGTTGCATTTTTATTTTATACATATATTTTTTGAAACCCCCCCCCTCGTAATTTCCACACGGCGGTTGCCACCGCTGGCGAGAGCGTGCAGAGCGAAGAAAGGCGCTGCGGGGGTTTCGTTGGCGATGGTTACATTCCATTGAGCGCGGCAGTTCGGGGAGGTTACGGAACGGTGAGATGAGTCGTGGGGGTCCCGACGGTGCGTTACGGAACACCGGCTGTGTCCCGCTGCTGCTGCTGTATGCAGCCGAGCGTCGCTGCTTGCGTGTGTCAGCCAGGGTGTGGGGCGCGCTTTCGGGAAGAGTTGGCACGTGTGGCGTGGCTTCTGTGTTTACTCCACAGAGCGTTGCGTTGTTGTTGTTGTTGTTTTTTTACATCGTATCGTAGTCATCGATAATAATAACATTATTATTACGACTGTGTAGGTTTTTTTTCTTGCGATTCGGCTGCAGAGCTGTCCGATGCATTCTTCCGGTCGTGCCGCCTGCCGTTCTTTTGTTCACGATGTCTTGACGTTTCGGCGCACGCGGCTGGGAGCTCGTTCAGGAACTGTGTTTTTGAACGCGTCGTGGGTTCGAGTTATTTTGGTTCGCTGAAGGAGACGCAGTAACAACCCGGGAACGCCGTCGTCGTCGTCGTCATCAGGAGTTTTCAAATTGCCCTCGATAAGCTCTGTTGTTTTTAGTCACTTGCTGCGTTTGCCTGGATCATGTGATGCCTTAGATCCTACGAAAACGAGGGCCGAGTGGCCGATGGAAGAAAAATCTTTTGTACGTCTCACGATGAGTGCTTTTGGGACGCGCTTTGACCCCTCTGGCAACCTCGGGTCGCAGAGCCAACGGTTCCATCGGTCGCCCCCCCCCTCCCCCCCCCGAGCGATGAGGGGCGAGCAACAACGACGATAATTACGGCCTCGCGGATGCTTCGTGTCGTTTTTTAGTTTTAAGAAAACTAAGTTCAGTCCTAATTAAACGTTTCTTCGCTAACGGCGGCGATGTTTTCAAATCGATGGAATTTCAAAATCCAAACGGTGTTTTATTTTCTTCGTACTTTCTTTTGGTCGCACTGGCATTTGAGCACCTTGGGAGGTTCGCCGTCACTTAAAGAGGCGAGCGAGCGAGCGATGAGGAGGAGGAGCGCAGAGCGGAGGGTCGCTCCGCGTTTGATGCAGACGGACGCGCGGACGAACGCACGCGCACCGCACTCGCGCAGACAACAAAGATGCAGCCACGCTTGAACCGACCGCGCGTCGGGTTGTGCCGCTTGTGCCGCCGCGTAGCTCTCTCGCTCTCTCCCAACGCAGTCCCAATTCAGGGGGCCCCGAGCACGCCGACGCCGTCGCCAGGCGCGCGACGTGTCCGAGGCGGGGGCGGGGGGGGAGGGGTGGCGAGCTTGAATTGCAGCGTTAAAAAATCAACAGAAAACACTCTCCTCCGCCACGTGGAGCGAAACGCCGCGCCGAGCGACACGCGGAACAACCCGCAAACGCGCAGTGGGCGGGGGGCGGTTGAGATGGCGACGATGGCGAGTCTACGCCGGACCCCAACCTGCTCGCGGTTTTGCGTTCTTGAAAAGTGTCACGTTGCCCGCCGCGTGCTCAATCGCGTCCCGCCGGGTCGCC